TGGTGGTCACATCACCTCTTTGCCTTCTGAGTGCTGGGATTGGGAGTGGAGCTCTCTGTTCTGAAAGTGAGGTGTAGCTTCCACTCTACATAAATTATGAAGGGGTGGAGGTTTGTTTGGGGGAGGAAAGGGTGTTTCGTTACTTCTCTGCTCTGTTCCTGTCTGGCTGTTTTTCCTTCTTTCAAACCAAAATTTCCTATATAACTCAGCTCTCCAAAGTCACTTTCATCTTTCTCTACTTCTAGAAATTAGAGACCCTTAGAAGATTCTGGGAGCCTCTTTCTGATACTTCTTTCAAGCTACCCTCTTAGAGTATAATGTCTAAGGCCAGAACATTCATGTAATAAAGGTTTATTAAGAAATTATTAGATGGGCCCTGTGTTAAATGCTGAAGAGACAAAGCTGAATGAGACGCACTCCTCCTCTCAAGGAACCAACAGCCTGTAGAGGGAGATAGGCAAGCAACGTCATCGTTTAGTGGGATGAAAATTGCATGAAGTAATGGGGACATTGAGAGTAGAGTGCCAAATGATGGTGGGAAGTCAGGAAGTTCTTCTTAGAGAAGGCAGTACTTTAACACAGATGTGAAGGATAAATAGGAGTCTGCTGTTTGAAAGCAAGGGCCTATTTATGATAGAGCAAACCCATAGTTTGGCATGACCAGACAGTGGCAGTGATGATTGAAAACGGAGGGAAAATGAAATGTTTAAGAGTATATTCCACTGAGGGGTAAGGTCCTAATCCTGAACCTAAGTGGTGGGAATATGGGAGTTTATTATGTCAACAGATACTGTGTGTGTGTGTAGTTTCTGCAAAGTCCATTATGTGCTTTAACATAGTAGTTCCTAAATTTTCTACCTGAAAAACATGCCTTTAGGGTTATATGAATTACTTAGTAACCATTTGGCTATGAGTGTTAATGTCAGGTATCGGAGGAAAGAGTGTTGATGATTCAGGATTTCTCTTCTTATAGGCTTGTTTGAATTGTCACATAAAGCATTCATTTTTGTGAATGTTTTCAATGGGGTATTAAAATTGAACCAAGTAGATTCCATGTTGCCAAACTGCCTATGACTTAATAGGGGAACTATGAAAGATGTGCATATGTGCTGTCTGTAAGCAAATAACGTGCATGGGAGTTTGGGGAAGGGAGAGAATCACATGGATCAGATTTTTGGGATTTAGGGACTGGTCATTTATGGTCAGTCTTATTCCCAAGATGTCTGAGGCCTCAGAAACTATTATTCTGAGTGCTCAAACTTCTGGGTTCCTTGACTGACAAAATGCAAGTTCGCGAAACTTCCAGTGAGTCACCTGCATTAATCAAGGCCCTCTGGAGTGTTGTCATTGTGATAGAATACAATGAGAGTGATGACTGCTGCCTCCTTCAGCACACAGGGATGGGTGTAACCCCTGAGAAGCCATGCTGTTTGGTGTCCCTCTCTGCAGGGACCAGTGCAGGCATGTCCCCTGAACCCGCTTTTCCAGGGCTCTCCCGTTAGACTCAGTAAGCTTTACCTCGTCATAAATTATGTTGTACGACAGATGGTTTTTATTTTCCTTGCAAGCTTCTTATCTTTGACGTGTATTTATACTTCAGTGTTTTCTGTTTTAAGCCTTTTTCTCTTTTCTTCATGTCCTACAGTTTTTGTGGCTTTAGTCGCAGTGCCTCATACCCCAAAATCCTTGTTTTCCCTTCTCCTACAGTTTCTGCGTCAGTGTTCACTCTCTCTTTGCCTGCTACTCCACGAGTCTCTTCTCTGAGTCTCTGACTCCTACCCCACCTCAGCTGTGCTTTGTGGCTTCAGGAAAAGTCCTGAGGTGGGTCTGTGAAGTTTCTCTTTGCTACTTCTCTTCACCATTCTCCTAACTTTTTTTCCTCCCCTTGCCCTACCTCTGCCTTAAATAGAATCAACACAAATGTCCCACTAACTGTGGTCAAGGAGGTGAGCCAATCTAGATGGGGTTCAAAGATGGCTTAAGGAGCATGCAGTCTAGTGTAGGAGGTCTGAGGTATGGTAAGTGAGGCATTTGAAGGACTCACAAGGTAATGAGGGATAGAGTAGTGTGAGTTAAAAATGGAATGGGGAGCATTGCAGGAAATCTTCACCCTCTATTAGCTAATGGAGACAGCTGGTGACAGAGTTGTTACTAGACATTGGACCTTCCCTTGTCTTGTCTTGCTGGGAACTCTGTCGGGGCTGGTTCACCTTGGCTAGGATTATCTTTCACTAACTGCTTCGGTTTCACTAGGTACCTGGACAGACTTAGTGGGTAGGTGTATCCACTCTTATTTCTGATTCCTCTCTGACTGTTGCTAACACATCTCTCTTTTAGGTTCTCATATGATCTTGGGATCTTGCCTTCTTGTCTTCCTTTTCATTCTTCACACTGGATGTAGCTGAACAAGCTTAGTCCTCTTCATCAGGGCTACCATGTGTATTTTCTCTGGGGGCCTAAGGGCAGAGTGGAAAGTAGGGTTGGAGGTGATAGAGGCAATAGGAAGGGGTGTTGTCAGGTTGAGATTCCTCTCTCTTTCAGCATCTAAGGTATATATATTTTTTCCCCAACTGACCTAGTTCTGTTATAGTTGTTTCTGCAGAGTCACTGATCGTCACTGATTAAGATGGAAAAGAATAATAAAGAGACAGTGGTAATAATAGACTGACTTCTGATCTATTTCTCCTTGGATACTTTTCCCAAAGATAGAGATAAGATAAAGGGGAAGTTGGTTGTCAGAGTGATGTTTGGTATTTCAATATCTTGCCACTGGTGAGTGTAAGGGCCTTAGCCTCTGTCTTCTATCTGTAAGTGTTGTTAACATCTGGCTCTTGGAAATAAAACCTTTGGCAAAGTACCAGCTCATTACTGCTTCCAAAATACTTGTAGAAATCTGAGATAGAGCTTGCTATGGACAAAACACAGAGGCACTTCTTTCTAAATTTAGTTGAAAACTCATGTTTAGAGCAGGTCAGCCATGATTCTACACACTCACTTGGACCCATTTTGCTTTTTGTGTTTTCGTCAGTCAAGGTAGTAGGTTATTTCATGACTCTGAATCTCATGTTTTAGACATCTTTTTTGGAACTAGTAAATTCTTTCAGAAGAAGTTATAGAAATACTGGCTTTCTGAAGTATGCTTCAGAGTGGAAGCAATTAGTAAACAGAAATGTTTATTTTTTTAATTTATTTTTTAATTGGTGGAAAAATGCTTTACAATTTTGTGATGGTTTCTGCCGTACAACAGTTACGGCAAATCAGCTGTGATTATACATGTACCACGTTCCTCTTGAGCCTCCCAGAAATATTTATTGAATGAGTAAAATTTTAATAATGTGTATGGATATTACGCAGTTTAAGGGGCTGTATAACTGAGGGAAAAGTTATGAAATAAGTTGTAGTAACATATTTGATGTGTAACATTAATAATCAGTTCTTATGGAAAAAACATTTAGTAACAATCTCAGCCCATACTTATATATTGGTTTATGCTTTTCACAGAGTTTCTGTGTGTATAAACCTTGGAGATAAACTAGATGAGTCTTGCTGTCATCCCTCATCTTGCAAATACCTGAAATAAAAGCTAAAAGACCAATCTGGGAATCCTGGGACTGGAAGCCATAACCAGGCTTGGTACTCTTTTCTCTACAAACTGTTCAGACCAAAAATCTGCATGAATCTATGATAATAAGAGATAAGTAAAGCAATGGGTGAGGTTTTGTTCTGTTTTCTTTTTTTTTTAATGCTCACTTTTATTCAGTTTAAGGATTGGCATCCTTTTAGCAATACTCAGGGCCCAGCTGTGTAGCAGATACACATGCACTTGATACAGTGTTGAACAAGACTAACATGGAACTTATATTCTAACAAAGTAAGAAAAATAGTAAATACCTTAACAAGAAATAACATAAGTAAATTCAGGCAGTTATAAAAGCGCTGAAGAAAATAGAGAAAGGCTGGTGTTGGTGATATTTTTATATGTGATATATTCCTGAAAATGGGCACCAAGGTTTAGTGTACATACGTTTTAAAGGGAGATTCCTTTCTAAGGAATCCAAATAGTCATAAAATACCTCCTCATTGTGGTGTTTGGAGGACCCAATCAAAATTGATCTGAAGTTCAAAACTGGCTTAAGTCAAGAGGGTGGAGTTGAGGCTAAAAATTTGCTGTTTTAGAAACTCCTCTTGATACCTCTTTCATGATATTGAGGCTAGGATGAATATTCCATTTTACCATTTTCACTCATCTTTATAAAATAATGAAGACAAAATATAGACAGCAGGGCCTTCTCAGTTTTTAAAAATTAGCAACAGTTTTCTTCAAAGCAAATTCCAAATGTCCAGTATGTGAAACAGCTGTGGCCCCTCCGCTCATACCATGATGATCCCCCCCCCGAATCCTGAGAAATCACCCAGGGTTTGCAGAACACAGGATGAAGACTACAATAAAAAATTCCAATTTTAAATCTCATGCTTGAAAAAATAGATGTGCTGCTGAAACTGGCACAGCCGCCATATCACAGCTTCCAAATCTTGTTCTGAAACCCATGAAAGTCTGCATTCAGTGAAGAAATAGGCTTATACGTACATTTTAATCTAAAATTAAATTTTTGGGTAGCATTCTTAATATAAGGCAAAGTCAAATTTTAATCAAGCCTTTTTCTTTAGAGCACAGTTCCCCCCCCCCCCACTTCAATAGTGTTATTGAATAGAACTGACATACTGCACTGTATGAGTTTAAGGTGTATGGCATAATGATTTGAATTGCACATATTTTGAAATTATTACCCCAATACAGAGTGTGCCTTTCAATAATGTGGGCTTAATGGTACTACTGAGGCTAAAGTACTTTTCATCTGCTAATTTGAAAGTTAAATTTCATATTGGCTGTGTTTTATTTTGTTCATAAACTGTTTAATTATAAATACTTCCATGATTTTTTAATATCATTATAAAGTAATTGAATTGCTGGTTTAAAATTTTTTATTTTTGTCTTCTAGTTTGCCAGGGTTTGGATACCTGATCCTGAGGAAGTTTGGAAGTCAGCAGAGCTGCTCAAAGATTATAAGCCAGGAGATAAAGTTCTCCTGCTTCACCTTGAGGATGGAAAGGTAGGAATTCTGCTTTTATTTGTTGTTATTGGCATAAAGTGAAGGAAATTCAAAAGGGTAAATTTGCTGTGGGATACTTAACTTCACTTGGAAGTTATATTTTGAATTAATCTAATGTTTTCACTTAACTGATAAAAATGGCAAACAACTTTCTATCCCAAAGGGTTAGTGAAAATAGCAGATACTTTTAAAAATCCATTATTTTGGCTTATGAATTTTTTTAATTTATTTATTTTAATTGGAGGCTAATTACTTTATAATATTGTATTGGTTTTTCTGTACATTGACATAAATCTGCCATGGGTGTACGTGTGATCCCCATCCTGAACCCCCCTCCAACCTTCCTCCCCATCTCATCCCTCTGGGTCATCCCAGCCCTGAGCACCCTGTATCATGCATTGAACCTGGACTGGCTATTCGTTTCACATATGATAATATATATGAATTTATTATGACCTGATTTAGATTCGCATCTAATCCTCCTATAGGTATTCCTGTTTACCTGTATTTTGTTTAGGATATCACTTAAATAATTCATATTAACTAAGAAAACAACATTTCAAGAGCCAGCTTGAGATATGATATTTGCTGGAACTAGGTATTTGAAAAATATTTACTTAGAAGCTATTATCTCTAAAACTCTTTGCTGGTGGCCAGAAAAACCTATAACCAGTTGTGTCTGTATACTTTCCCATCTGCATTCACTACAGAATAGACTCTTCGTTCCACCCTTTTTATTCTCTCCACTGCATTTGACAGGGCATGTCACACTTTTAGTGTGACATTAATTTCCCCTAAACAATTTATAATCTAGCCAGGAGAAGGCAGGATATAAAAAGTAGTTCAATACTGCAATACTAAAAATGTCCAAAGATAATCTTATGATTAATTGCCAAGTGAGTCATACTGTCCTGACAGTTAATATGTACTGAACACTTACTATGTACCAGGTGTAGTTCTAAATCCTTTATATCCTCTAACTCACTTAATCTTCACAACAATCCTATGAGGTGGGCCTGTTATTATTACCACTTTATGGATGAAGTCCTGAGACTCAGAAAGTTTGGGACTTGCTCAGAGTTATACAGGCATTAAGGGATGAAGTTGGGACTTTAAGCCAGTAGATTGTCTTTATGGTCTGTGCTCTCATAACCACTGTGCTGTACTGTAAAGACACTGAGGACTTTAGGTTCCCAAGAGGGAAATATCACTGTGGGGTGCTTCAGGGAAGACTCCCAAGAGAAGGAAGAGTTTTGACTAGACAGAATTTGGATTAACAAAGATAAACGGGATAGACTTTGTGAGACTTGGAATATATTTTGGAGATAGTGAATGTCACAAGTTGACTTAACAGAGATTTAGAAAGGTGTGTGTTCTAGTTCAAGGCTAGTGTGTTAAGGTACCTGCTATGTATCAAGTTAAGAAGAGGCAAACAATATGCTCTCTGACAATAATGTCAAATAAGAAAGTACATATACTTATGAATAGTGTGACATGTGATATAATAAATATAAATAAGAAACAAAAATAGAACAGAATGGAGACTGGTCATAGGATGATGAAGGCTAAGAGTCAGAGAGGCATCATCTAAAGAATGAATAGACAAGGAGGAGTGTGTTTCAGGGATCTGGAGGAGCCTCGGCAAGGGCAGGGAGGCATGCACAGTATTGTGCATTTGGGGGTACAAGTTTCATGTTGTTGGGATTTGACGGGAGAGGACTGGCAGGAATATGGGGGTGGGAACCAGATCACAGAGAGCCTGGTGTTCATGCCACAACTCTTAAACTTCAACTGGTATATCTGGGAAGTGATTGTAGTGTTTTTAAACAGAAGAGTGCCAGGTTTTCTATTTTAGAAAGGACTCACTGGTGGTAGAGTAGAGTATGAATTTCAGGAAAGCAAAACAGAGGCAAGGCAATTATTCAGAAAGAAGGCAGGGAAGAATTAGACCAGATTAGAAGGGCCTTAATTACCAAATAAGGAATTAACTTATTCAATATTCATTGATCATCCACTCTGTGAGGCACGTTAGGTACTTTAGACTATATTTTCTTATGATAATTCTCACAGCAAATCTGTGGGTTCGCACGTGGTATGGTAACTATTTTCCAAGTAAAGAAGCCCAGACCCAGAGACATTAAGCAGTCTGCCTGAGATCACACAGCCATTTTTTGTATGGCAGGAACCAACGCAAAGACTAGTCAGCTTTGGAAAAGGACATTAGACCCTAATAAACGGAAAAAGAGAGGTCGAGGGTCAGACTATAAAAATTTCCTCCCCATTTTGCAGAATTCATTCCAACCTGATTTGAACATTTGACCTCTGTATATCTCTTTAGTATTAACAAAAGTATTAGCAAAAGTCTTTTTACAAAACTAACTTGTCCATCTCTGCAATTATATTTGTTTTTTTCCTTTTCATGTGTTGTGTGTGGTTTCCCCTTAGTACATAGTTGAGTGACAGTCTCCATGCTTGACTTTGCCATAAAAATATATTCCTTAAAATGAGTAGTAGTTCTTAATTTGGAGGGCCAAGCACTTCATCAGAAGTATAATAAAAGCTGTGGGCTGTATTTTAAAGAAATACACACATGTGTAGGTACTTACACATACATGCATAGACGCAAAGTGTTAACATCTAATTTTAAGGGATTCTTGGGCCTCTCTGGGTTGAGGGGTTCCCAAGTACTTACCACATACCAAACATCGTCTCCTTTCATTTTTACCACACGCCTGTGAGCTATTTCCATTATGCCCTTTTTACAAATGAAAGATTAAGGTTAAATAACATACACAAGACCACACAAGGAGTAAATAACAGTTTCAGGACTTGAACCTGCGTTGAACTGGCTCTAGAGCCAAGCTCTTACCACTGTCTTATACTGTCTGTCACTTATACCAGATGAAGAGCGTGAAAAAGAATTATTTTCCCATAGAAAATCATCTGGCCTAGTAACTAGGAAGAAAAAATAATTCTAGGCTTTGACTTTTCAAACTGTATTAGCAAAAAATGTTGCTATGAGTTAATACATCTAGTGAAAACATACTCTCCTTATTTTTTGCTGTTTCCACCAACTTCTGTGGTTTTGGGAGGTACCAGGAAAAAATGTATTTAATAACTGAGAAACAAATCAGGAAGAGAAAATGATCAAAATGTATTAATACATGCCTGTATCAGGTTTTTGCCATGATGTATCCAGATGCTGTATCTTGTACATTTTCAGGATTTGGAATATCGTCTCGATCCAAAGACCAAGGAACTGCCTCATTTAAGAAACCCTGACATACTTGTGGGTGAAAATGACCTCACAGCCCTCAGTTATCTTCACGAGCCTGCTGTACTCCATAATCTCAGAGTTCGCTTTATTGATTCCAAACTTATTTATACATATTGTGGTGAGTGTGCATTGCTGTCTGAGTGAAATGTGAATTCTTTTTGCTAATAGACATAACCATGGAAATAATGTGCATGAGAAAGAAGGCTGTGGGTGGAGCTTTTCTTAGAAACATATTCACTTCAGTGTTATCAAAAGATTTCAGTTCAGTTCATTTGCTCAGTTGTGTCCAACTCTTTGCATGCCAGGCCTCCCTGTCCATCACCAACTCCCAGAGTTTACCCAAACTCATGTCCATTGAGTCAATGATGCCATCCAACCATCTCATCCTCTGTCATCCCTTTCTCCTTCCACCTTCAGTCTTTCCCAGCATTAGGGTCTTTTCAAATCAGTCAGCTCTTCGCATCAGGTGGCCTAAGTATTGGAGTTTCAGCTTCAACATCAGTCCTTCCAATGAACACCCAGGACTGATCTCCTTTAGGATGGACTGGTTGGATCTCCTTGCAGTCCAAGGGACTCTCAAGAGTCTTCTCCAACACCACAGTTCAAAAGCATAAATTCTTCAGTGCTCAGCTTTCTTTATAGTCCAACTCTCACATCCATACATGACCACTGGAAAAACCATAGCCTTGACTAGATGGACCTTTGTTGGCAAAGTAATGTCTCTGCTTTTCAATATGCTATCTAGGTTGGTCATAACTTTCCTTCCCAAGGAGTAAGCGTCTTTTAATTTCATGGCTGAAGTCACCATCTGCAGTGATTTTGGAGCCCAGAAAAATAAAGTCAGCCACTGTTTCCACTGTTTCCCCATCTATTTGCCATGAAGTGATGGGACCAGATGCCATGATCTTAGTTTTCTGAATGTTGTGCTTTAAGCCAACTTTTTCACTCTGCTCTTTCACTTTCATCAAGAGGCTTTTTAGTTCTTCTTCACTTTCTGCCATAAGGGTGGTGTCATCTGCATATCTGAGGTTATTGGTATTTCTCCCGGCAATCTTGATTCCAGCCTGTGCTTCAGCGAACCCAGCATTTTTCATGAGGTACTCTGCATGTAAGTTAAATAATCAGGGAGACAATATACAGTCTTGACATACTCCTTTTCCTTTTTAGAACCAGTCTGTTGTTCCATGTCCAGTTCTAACTGTTGCTTCCTGACCTGCATACAGATTCTCAAAAGATTTACCAGTGTTCATTAACTAGTTGCATTTTATGCTGAATAAACTATTTTATGAACTTGCATAATATTACTCAGAATACAAAGAACTGTGTCCATCTTTTGCTTTTTCTCTGCATAGAAGTCGTATGTCATATTCAATACTGATTTGCAAGTTATTTTCATCTCTTACAAAAACCAATACTTGAAGAGTAGACATCCAAAGACTTATCTTCAAGATGTTTCCTCTTTTTCTCAATTGCTTAGCACTGCAGGACTGACTTGAATTGCAATAACACTTCTTGCTTGATTTGCTTGCATGGGCCCCTGCTCATCCCAGTACTATCTGCCAGTAACCCAGCCCAGGATTATTTTTTTCCCTCTCCTAGCAGTTAAGCATACACATGTGTATATTCCCCCTTTCCTTCTTTTTCTTCTTTCTCTGTTTCCTTCTTATTCTTCATTTTCTCTAGCTCTTTTTCTCTACTGATTTTTTATCCTTCTTTCACTAAGTATTATCTGCTGAGTCTCAGGTCTGGGATTTCCATCCATTTCCTTCTAAGTCTCTGCTGCGTGTACACAACTTGGTGCTCAATATTTCTTCATTGGGCTCCAGTCTGGAGCAGAGACAGCTATCTTTTCTTCTTAAAAGAATTTATATTTTTTATACCCTTGATATTTGCTCTTTTTCTTTCCTATCTATTAAGTCTTTTGCTCAATTTTCATTTTTTTCTTCAGTTTATCTTTCTTGCACATATGCTACCTTCTCAGTGAAGCCTTTCCTGTCCACCCTATATTTTCTCCTTCTAGTCATCAATATTCCTTCTCTGTTTAATCCCCCCTTTTCCTTACTATCTATCCTGTAATATATATATATATATATTTTTTTCTTATTTATTGTCTGAATTTCCCTCTAGATTACAAGTTCCAGGAGGACAAAGATTTTTCCTTTTTTAAAAAATTTTTTAATTGAAATATAGTTGATGTGGTAGCTCAGACGGTAAAGAATCCACCTGCAATGCGGGAGACCTGGCTTCGATCCCTGGGTAGGAAAGATCCCCTGGAGAAGGGCACGGCTACACACTCCAGTATACTTGCCTGGAGAATTCCATGGACAGAGGAGCCTGGTGGGCCCCAGTCCATGGGGTTGCAAAGAGTTGGACATGACTGAGCGACTTTGACTTTCACTTTACAATGTTATGTAATTTACAGGTGTACAGTATAGTGATACACAATTTTTAAAGGTTATACTCTATTTAGAGTAGTCTTTTTTTTTTACTGCTATAAATATAACACTTAGAAAAGACTCAAAACTTAATTGTAGTCAAATATTTGTTGAATGAATGACTAAAGTTAACATACATCTGCTATAAAATTTAAGGAAATACGAAAAAAAGTATAAAAAAGGAAAAATAATTACATGTAACTCACCACCAAAAAATAACCAGTATTAAGTTGTCTTATATCCTGTGTGTAAATGTAAAAGAGTATAAATAAATATAAAATTGGAATCAGTCTATATATAGTTGTGTGTTGTGTTTTTCTATGGCACTTAATATTTGTCACAAACATGATCTGGATCACATAGATATAATAATACATATTAAACCACTCTCCCTTTTTAAAAAAAATTTATTGAAATATAATTGATTCACAATGTCATATTTAGTTTCTGCTATATAGCAACGTGACTCAGTTATACATATGTGTATTCTTTTTCATGTTCTTTTCCATTGTGGTTTATCACAGGATATAGAATATAGTTTCCTGTGCTATACATAAACCACCGTTCCTCTGTTATGTGTTTTGTTTGTTTCTACTTTTCACTGTTATGAATAACATTATAATAAACATCTTCACTTTTTAAAAAATCCCTTTACATGAATCTGTTATAAAAATATTTGAAGTTCTTCCAATATTGCCACAGTTTTTACTACTTTAAATAACCTAGTCTTGTTTGTAAATGGTGTTTTAATTAGGGCTTAATGGTTCACCAGCAAATGCTATGGTATATTTTGACTCTTAACAATTTGGTAGTTTAATATTAATTGGATTTTAACTGTGATTCTCACTTTACTAAGTTTGATATGCCCATTAGGATATTACTGACTTCTTGTATTTTTTACCTTTCTCCCCAGGTATAGTTCTAGTAGCTATAAATCCTTATGAACAGCTGCCTATTTATGGAGAAGATATTATTAATGCATATAGTGGTCAGAACATGGGTGATATGGATCCACATATCTTTGCAGTAGCTGAAGAAGCTTACAAGCAAATGGCCAGGTTGGTGGAAGCTCTATTACTATTTCATTACTTTTATTGGATGTGATCATTTCTTCTTTACTGAGTCACAGATATTTTTAAATACAGTGAATAACAATTTGTAAATTATTAAATAAACAGCCTCGATTAATTTGTTTCAGGTGGCCTGAATTATTATCAAAATAACCTAACATTTGTAAAAGGACATATAGTTTTTAAAAATTACCTTTGGTATCTCACTATAATCCTGTGACTATTCAAGGACAGATGCTACTACATTTTATAGATGAATGGATCAAGGTTTGGAAGTATTAAGTGACTTGCCCAATGTTATTCAGCTAGTGAGTGGCAGACCAGAACTAAAAGGCCTAAATGCTGATAGAAATCTGTCTGTATCTGGGGTAAGTCAAACAGGAAACTGTGAGTTTTAAGTTAGCAAATTTTAGGGCATCAGTGATCCTGAACAGCATCAGGAAAATGTCTTTGATGATACCTGTGGAACCCTAATATTTTTAGAGTGGAGAATGAGAAAAATCTACTTTCAAGACTAGATTATGCTCTTGATAATATAATTTAATGCAAAATTATGCATGCATTGAAGAATAGTCTATTTTTAACCTATTTCTCTAGTCTATAGGTAAGGATGTGGCATGTTATAAATATGATACTGGAAACCCTCAAGCAGTTTATGGAGAGAAAATACTAATACTGCAGAGTTTTTTATTTTCTCCTTTCCAACAAGAGAGAATGTTTGTACATAACTGGACCAGTGTGTGACAGAATTTTAGAATTATTTCAATGACAGAATCCATAGAAGTCATTATACCCTTTTGTTAGTAAAATAGTATTGATACTTCTAATGACAGGTAACAGCTATTAAGTACTCTTCCTGTGCAAGGCACTGTTTAATTGCCTCCCATTTACTAAGTAGTTTTATCCTTATAGGACTCATCTAAGGTTGGTATTGTCATTTTATTATTATTATTATTTTTTTTTTTAGTATTGTCATTTTATAGGTGAGAAAGCTAATGACAGAAATGAACTTTTACAAATCAGAAACAGAGTCATGAACATAGAGAATAGATTTGTTTCTAGGGGTGGGGCAGAGTAGAAGAGGAATGGACTGGGAGTTTGGGATTAGCAGATGCAAACTATTATATACAGAATGAATAAACAATAAGGTCCTACATATAGCATAAGAAACTATATTCATTATTCTGTGATAAACCATAATGAAAACGAACATTAAAAAATAAATGTATTGGTAAAATGATTTCAAAATCAATTAGTCTGACACTATGAAATATCGACATACTAAATATAAAATGGCGAAACATGATTTTGTTCTACATGTCATATTATTTCAGATTCTTCTATAGAATAGTAACCAAAAGTTTACTTTTATGTTTAAAAGTGAGAAAATTACATTTATTGATATAATTTTTTTCCTCTGAAATATTGGGTTGGCCAGAGTTCATTTGGATTTTTCCACTACATCTTGTGGAAAAACAAACTTGAATGAACTTTTTGGCCAGTCCAGTAGAAAAGCCTGCCAGTATTTTGTTTGTTTGGTATTGAGCTCTGCAGAACAATGTTAGCACCTTACAAGTTGAACCTGAGAGCTACTGAGCAGAGAGGGGATTACATGATATTCCCTACCTAAAAATAATCCCTGAAAAATTTTTTACTGTTCATAAAGAATTATATGACTTTTTTGAAAATACTGTTTTTAAATATGAAAGCTTGGCTCTCACCATCCTTGTTACTGGTAATTCACAGTTTTAGGTTTATATGAATATTTCTGGCTTTTTACCGTTTGATTTGCTTTGGTTTCTTAATATTACCTCCTTAATATTTCCTCTGTGACTCCAGCATGACTTCTTAATGGCAAGTTTGTTTTCCCTTTGTTCAGTTTTGTTTTTAGACAGTTTTAAAATATGCATCAGTCAGTGATGATATTATGTTTACCACTTATATGAATTAATTTACACCCATAAAATGTGCCACAAGCCTATGCATTGGGAGCATGGGGTCTTAACCACTGGACCACCAGGGAAGTCCCTAAGGTGATTATTTTAAACTTTGAAATTAGTAAGTACCTTGTGGGAAAATACTTTGAGACTATGCAAATATCCTGTTTCTCATAATATACTTTCACTCACTAATTTTAACATCCATCAGCGGTTCTTACCTGCAGCAGTTTTAATGTGGTGTTTGCCAGGTGGGTGGTTGCTATTTCCATCCTTCCTTCTACAGGTATGAATATAATCTAAGGGAAAACTATTTCTTTCCCCCTCAACTTACTTATTATTTATTTTGTATTTGTATCAGGATGAACTCATGGACATGTATTTCATACTATGGATTATTCTGCATTTACACGTGTGTACTTAGTCGCTCAGTCTTGTCTACCTCTTTGCAACCCCATGGACTGTAGCCCACCAGGCTCCTTTGTCCATGGGGATTCTCCAGGCCAGAATACTGGAGTGGGTTGCCATGTCCTCCTCCAGGGGATCTTCCCAACCCAGGGATCGAACCCAGGTCTCCTGCATTGCAGACGGATTCTTTACCTATTCTACATTACTATCATTATTTATTTTGTTCAAACTGTCTGAGATTTGTCCATTGAGAGCTTTTTCTAGTGTCCTTTCACATTCTCCATCATCTTTTGAGCATTTCCTTACTTTCTAGCACCACCTGACTCATTTTCTAATTTTCTTGCCCCACCCCCCAATGAATTCAGCCATTTCATCAAGGACCCCTGGTTCCTTGTACTGAAGAAATGGTACTTAGAAACTAAGATCTGGGTGCTAGATGCATTAACTACTTGGGTATCCTTGCCTGTAAACCTTCTCAGTGCACACAGCTAAGAAATATGTTGCCCCCCACCCCACACCTTCACCAACAGAAGGTGTTGTCATAATTTAAAATTTCCACCAAACTGGCAGGTGAGGAATGGTATCCTAGTATTGTTTTAATTTACCTTTCTCTAAGTAGCACAGACTTTGCACATCTTTAGACACACACACACACACACACACACACACACACACCTGTATCTATATAATGTATATATATTTAAAACCATAACACCATTAAAATCATACTGATTCCTCCAATTGCAGTTCAATACCACAGTTTTTATTTAATATATATTTTGTCTTTATTTTTAAAATTTTTATTGATGTTTATTCTTGCTTTGACTAGTGTTGGGATACCATATGGTGGTCTTTTGTTGTGTTTTTTTCTATTTTATTTATTTGTTTATTTATTTTTGGTTAAATTGGGTCTTCGTTGCTGTGTGCCAGCTTTGTCTGATTGCAGTGAGTGGGCTTCTCTTATTGTGAAGCACGGGCTCTAGGCACACAGGCTTCAGTCCTTGAGGCTCGCGGGCTCTAGCTGTGGCGCATTGTGGCATGTGGAGTCTTCCTGGATCAGGGATTGAACTCATGGCACCTGCAGTGGCAGGTGATTCTTAACTGCTGGACCACCAGGGAAGTCCCCAACCACAGTTTTTATTCTTGATTTCTTTTTTCTTCAACTTCTTTCTTTGATCTTGAGAAACCTGACTCTCTTTATCCTCAGTATATTTACTTGTTTGCTCAATCCTAGAATATTCTTAGTTTCAGAAATGCTAACCCATAGCTCTGTGAAAAACAAATTTACCACTGAAGTGCAATATTTGTGTCCAGGTCATTTTGTCTTTAGTCTTACATAATATGAAGTACCAATTTCCTAGTTACCTAGAAAAACATTTTTTCCCCACTTACTTTATTAATTTGTTGAACCACTCTCCCATATATGGTCACTTAGATTGCAACATTTTGCAATTGCAGACAGTGCTACAATAAACAAGTTTGTATATTTATTATTTATTGTATACATTTTTATATTTGTATTTCTTTATTTGTTTCTCTTCCAAGTTGCTTTTAATGAAGTCTTGGGAACAAAATATACAGTCTGACTCAGATACACCATGGAGCAAGGCCTAGATAATGAGATAATTTTGCCCACATCTTGGGGATAATAGTGATATATATGTCTTTATGAAAACTATTTTTTAAAAAGATGTAAATTCTGTACAACATTCTCCAGGAGCTAGAGCCCAAGAGAACCCACTGGGAGTCTATCATCGGTAGGACCTCAGAGGCATCTCAGGGATGGAAGGAGAGGTAGGCAGTTTTTCCACAGCTGGAGGAGGCTGCAGTATCCTCATCTCTGCTGGGAATACCAGGCAGTGGCAAGCAGCACTAAAAGAGCACTGTAGGGCAGTGGTATTGAGCAGCTCTCAATATCTTGATCATAAATATTTGGAACAATCCAGTCAGTGATATTTATTACCAATGGGGTCAGAGCTGGAGGGAGCTTCTCATCCACAAGGGGCAGAGAGGGCACCTCTCTACTTGAAGAGGGACAGGAGAGGTGATGGGAGCAAAGAGCTAGAGCAAGGGGCTCTCACATTCTTGGCTACCTCACCTGGACAACTGCCACAGGGCTATGAGCAGCTTAAACCACCCAACTGCTTTCGGGAGAAGGTGCAGAATCTAATCACTGACAGGCTTCGGTAGTTTAGGTTCATACCTGTTTCAGAGCTTTTCTCTACCAACTTGGTATCACAGGAATTCTTCAGCTGGGGTAGAAGTTCTGATTGAATGTGTCTTCATGTCCAACATTGGTGCTTTTGCTCCAAGCCGGGACGCAGTTGCTCTTGGAACCTATGGCTCCCGTGTCTAGCACAGTGCTGCTTGAGCTGAACACCGTGGCCTTGCTGACTTGTGACACAATGGTTTGAAAACCAAAATCGCTGTGTAAGCAGATGGAGGCATTGCTGGGTTTAGGGCCTATCAGCTAGTACACAGCAGAAGTGGGGTTTGACTTCACATTGTACACAGTCTTACCCCCAAAGCCTAATTGCTTGCATTTGGTTACACAGTGTTCAGTGCTAAGGCAGTAACCTTGACCACCCTTTAAGACAGGTTAGAGGTGGAATACATTTTTGTATTTTTAAAAGTGTCATTGGT